TCAACACATTGCAAGAAGTTGGAGATTTTATGAGATGCAAGTTTGTGATTCTCATAGGTTTGAAAAATGAGTTTTATATATTCTCATACTATTATTAAACGAGAGTGATTTTTTAAATCTGTTTACTAAATGTCCGAGTTTGTTCCTGTATTTCTGTATTGTCGGTATCTTGGTAGTAGACAAGAGTCGACTACCCACCCATTATAGATGTCCCTGTCATCCATAGAGTATGGCAATGACATGAAAGCTATACACTATAATAGAAATTACCAATCAAGTGTCATTATTTATGGGCACAGAACCATATGGCGTTATAATATCTTTTATTTATCCAGAGTTACATATTTAGACAATGTCTAGTTTACAATATGGCCCTGCAGTTAACATCAGTTTAAAACAGAAGAAAACACATAAAATAGATAACACATAAAATAGATTTGGATCTATTTTGTGTTTGATACAATCTCTCTTGATGATAGTTAGGCAAGGTAACTTGAAGGTTAAACATGAAATCGGACCATGTCGGCAGCGACTGTGCAACGGGGTTTTTGTCTGTTTCCCACGACTGGTCGCTTACAAGATAATAATGGCTGCCCGGGGCTAAAGATGCACTCCTTGGAATGTATCATCATGGTGTAAGGGAGAAAAACAGTTTTATGAACATTCCTACATTTCTGTGACGTCGATTTGTCAGCACACGATCCAAAATGGCTTTCCCAGTACCCGGGAAACGTTTCAGGCGGTTTTAAGCGAAGCCTGCCGTAATAGGAGTTCTTCATCAGCTGCCCATCAGGTGTATCGGTCATGTGATAATATCTGGACTTAGCTTTTATTGGTATTTGGGGAAGATTCTTCCCTGAAATGTCCATTTTTATGTTCCAGTTTCAATTCATAGCCAAAATCCAAACTTTCTGTTGTCAAATAGCTTAATTTAGATCGTTTTTTCTGTTGGTACATGTTTTCCTTTTATGATAGAGAGACGTGTTAAGTATGGTAGTGGTTAGCCAAATAAATTCAATGTTCAGTTGGTCATATGATTGAGCGTAGAGTCCTTTGCTTACTGATCAGAGCACACTAATAGACCAAGGAAGTAATGTTCACCATGCTTAACACAGGGTGGAAAACCCCTCATACAGGTGTAATCAGTCTACACGCAAAATCTGGAAACCTCAAACTAACATCTACCTGGCATGGTGTCATTGAAATAAAATGTTTTTAATTCTAATTAATATATTTTTTGTGTAATTGAATGTAATTTGTCATTTGCAACAGATCTCGTTACATGTAATGGTTATTTAAATAATTACATTATACAAATGCAGATAATTACCAAATTCCTTCCAATTGTGTATATAATGTTCGATGTTCATTTTATTTCCAAAAGTTTACAACTTATAGGTACAGGATATTAATACAACCCATACATATACAATACATGCTTGCCAGGGCGGGGATATAAATAAACTTGCGTATAGCACTTACTGATTCTACTTGTGTTGATAAACTGATTAAGCACTCTGTTCATATAGAATCTGTTTATGTCATCAATTGTAAATGCATGATATTGTATTAAAACCTTTATGATAACAATTATTTGTTCTGTGTATATCGTCCATGACAAAAATAATTATGGTTTCTCGCAGTCTGTGACTCACAAAGATTGCACCTGGCAAAATAACTATAACACAAACATATCAAACTTAAGATGTACAACACAATGCATTGTATTCTGATTTCACTATATTGATATACATTAAAAGTCAGGAAAAATGATTGTGCATTTTAACCATACTGTGAGATTTACAACATTACACATAACGGTTATTGTAATTATACAATTGCAATATAATTTGTAATTCAATTTCCATTAAATTGTACCCATTTCTGATTGCAATAGTAAAAGCACATTTTGAGATCCAGGTTTAATGAATTATCACACATGACATATCCCGACCGGGCGAAGTTTTTCATTTTTTCAGGAGCCAAAGGTCATCCGTCAAATCAAAATTATATATAAATCAACGAATAATGAATTTCAAATAATTCGCTTGATATCATTGGTACTCTGTTACTACATAATACATGTTTGTACAGGTTATCCTGTATGTATCAACATATCAAACCGTGACGTTATCCGAGGTCAATCCAAGTGTTTACGTTCTCATAGCAGCACGGTAGTTACAACAAAACTACAGAAACAATTAAAATTGATTGACCACGCAATAGTATAGTTCGTTGTAAGATCAGTATGGCGAACATTTAATTTCCCTATTGTCAATCTGCATCTTGGGAAAATCTATGTTGTAAGGTTGTCCATCAACAGTCGGTATCTATCACGGAAACCTTGATATTCCTAGCAAGCTCTCCAATACTGAATCAGCAGCGATATGTATACAACGTATATAAGTTCGAGGAATGTAACAATCGTTAGGTATATACGAACAGCGTGGTCAATACTTTCCTGTTATTGAAAGACCACACATAGTCAATTTAGTTGCGAGGTTAAAGGACTTTGCTGTGGGTTTTTTTCCTTCCAGTCCCGAACTAGCTCATCTATAAATTCAGCTTTATATGCAAGCAAGTCGGCTTGCAAGAAATACATTTTCTTCTTTCAAAAAGGGATAGATTCGTAGAACATGTCCTTGGTATTAACTTTCCCGTTGGTTTGATGTAGATGGCTGGCATACTCCGTATCTGGGCTTTACTCATCAAAGACGATTATCGTTATTTTGTTTTGACGACATACGTAATCAGTTAACAGTTTGTGAATGACTCCCACCGTAGTTTCAGATGCTCTGGCGTTACAATCTCCAACATTTCAGGTAGCTTCCGAAGAGGAGATGTTTTTAGCTTATCGCATGAGGCCGGGTGAGCCTTTTATTTTCACTGGTGTGTTTTCACTCAAAGTATAAACTTGTTTTCTTCAAATATCTTTATTGCATAGTTTTTGTTTATGCTGCAAGCTTTTGTTGAAGTTGTACATCCAATATATTTTTCTCTATTGCTTTCTCTGAGAGCAGTCGGGCAAAGCCATTAACCGTTTGACAAACAAACCTTCTATCATTCCTGTTCCTTTTGTCAAACTTCCCGATATTCATATGTCCCTAATAAAAGCTTGCTCGATATTTCAATGAATGGATAGCTCTACTAAGCATCTATCAGTTCTTTTTACTACTTAGTCGTCATATTGGCGAAGTGCATAGACTACATCACTGCGTTTCCCGTTGACGTCCGTAATTATCAATGAAAATCCTAAGTAATCAAAAACATTTTGTATGAGGACCATGCTGTATGTGTTATCTTCACGTCCATGTATTCAACCAAATATGTGAATCTGTATACATAATGTTATGGCGTCCTCATAGCCACTCCAACCTATCTGGTGTAACCTTTGCCCGGTACACGTACGTTGTCATTATTCGTTTTTAAATGAATTCATTTTCTTTTGTGTCCGAGCCCTTCTGTCGGAGTTCGTTGACTCCAATGCCATTAATTCCACATGATACACAGCATTCTATGACAGACTAAAACACACGATGATGAACAACTTTAAAATAATATATCCTTTATTTAAAAATCATATCTGAAAAACCAAGAATAAAAAAAATCATCCAAACAAATAATCGATAAAAGTAGAGCAACAAAGGAAATATTTATATGAAGATCCATGTAAAATAACACAAAGAATAAGTAAATCATGTACATGACAGGGGCATTTACCTGTGCAGGGATCGTTACACACGATTACTAGCTGTTTATGTCCCGTAGACACGTGTTTGAGTGATGTGTACCTGACCTCGATGCACCCGGGTTTATTCATGACTTTCTCTGTGCCTTTATATAGATTTTCAAATTTGTTGTTCATTAAAACCTTAAATTTATATAGTAGTATATTTCAGTTGTTATTGTTTTTATGTAATACCATTACAAGACAATGTACGTTAATTAGTAATACGTTAACAAAGCAATATTACAGGAGGACATCACACACATGTACCAATATCTATCAGAGTTGTCGTTCCTTATACTATCGACGAAACCATACCCGCGGGGGAAATTTACGCGGACGACACAACTCCGCGTAATAAGCGTAAATTTCCCCCGCGCGTAATATACCACATTTACAGTAAACAATTCAAAATCTCGATTTGGACCAACAGAGGCCTGAAGGAGCCAAGTATGAACACAATTAATCTAGCGGACGCTATTTATACATCTTGCCCCCACTAAAATAATCATCTGGCAGCTGCCAATTAATTTTTTGTTGACCTGAGCTTTATTATCAGATTGCCAACCTTTATTTACTAGATGGCCACCGCTTTGTTATCTGAGAGGCATCGTACGTCTGCATTTCGTATTCCTTACACTATCCCCCTTTGCAACCTCTTTTATGTTATGATCGCCAAGAGCCGACACCTGCTGCTATTCAGAATTGAGATATTCCATTAAGGAAAATAACTGGTTTCCCTATTTTTTGCTTCCGTTTTTTTGTAGTTTGATTAATATTCAGTACTTAATTGCTCTTATTTTGAGGTGATATTGCATATTTATTAGACTATTTATGAGATAGTCAAATTAAAAAGTGAAATAAAAACACATACGGTTCTTCAAATATTAGGAAGAAAAAAACACCAAAAGCACTCTTGCACCGAAATCCCCCCAAAACATAGAATGATGTACATCCGTGAAAAAATAACATCAAATATCAGAAAACTACAAACTGTATGCTATTTTGAATATGTATCTATACGTTACGTTGATTTCAATGGATTAAATGAGGACAAATTGATTTTGTACAGAAATAAATATGTACATTTGATATACCGTCCTCCCTTATGGATCTGCAAGTGCTTTGAGAAAGACTGTAACTAGACTTACTTTTGTAAGTTATTACATTTTAAGCATGATCAAAATGACTTTCAATAAAACATTAATCTGTGGTGATCAGACGTCGGTATGCTGATGAGACAAATTGTCCATGTGCTACCCAGATGGACAACATGGTGGAAATTGGCACCAGACCTACATTTAGTGAGAAACATGAGATGTTCAGACAGAGCGCGAGAAGGTTCTTTCAGGAGGAAGTGGTTCCCCACCATACTCAGTAGGAAAATCTTATCAAATGTATTTTCTTGTCACTACTTGCAGACGACATTACATGCAAAACAAAACTAAACAAAAGAACAAATGAAAAAAAAGATTGAATTGGGTTAAGTGAATAAGGGTCAGGTCTGTTATTTCAATTACTAGACCAATGTTTGGATTCATACTTTAATGAACAATAAGTGGTGATTGAGTAGCCTTGCTTGTATATATATATATGTCATATAAGAAATTGGTGTTTTTTTGCAAATGGGAAAAGGATGGCAATGTCAGCAGAGAGGTATTCTTGGAATGAGCTGGATGGAAATCTGGATGGTTTGTGGTATGAAATGGAACCTCATATAAGACACATTCAGCAATAGTAGCATCTTTTCAACTGGAAAGAAAAAAGAAAACAATCATATTTTCTGGAAAGTAAACAACCTAAAAGTAAAAACGGTTATATTGATAAAAATGTCCAAAATGTACATTTATGTGTTCAACAAAAGCAAAAGAAAAGTCAATTTTATGATTGTTGTAGGTATGAGAAAAGGCTGGAGTCATGGGGATCCTTGGTGTCAACACTCCTGAGACGTTTGGCGGTGTGAGTGGGGATGTTCTCTCAGCAGCGATCACATGGGATGAACAGTAAGGGAAATAACTCATAATTTACCATCGTTATATCAGACAATCTTTCACACAGATATACATGTGTTTGCGGTAACAGTACCTACATTAGCATTCAGTCCTTGTCATTTGTCATTAGGGTCATGTGCCCAAATATTTAAATTTGACTGTCGTTCTTTATTATAATGAATGTATAACGATTTTACTGTTTCATTTACATTCACCGTGGTGGTACAGAAACAACGCTTAACTCTCCAAAAGTCGACAATAAAAGCATGTTGTCCGCCAAGTATGTTCTGATGCTTGCTTAAACGTAAACCGATATCCGCACTTATCTTCAGGAGTAACCAGGCTTTTACTACAATGTTTTTTCTTTCTTTTTTCACTTATTTATTTTCTTTCGAACCAACCATTTTTAAAGCAATGAAAGATGAACACATACACGCATGCGATTGCACCATAAATATTTGATAATCGATAAAGTAGGACAAAACAGATATACACTACACCATACAGCTGTTACGTCATTTCAGGTATCACTTAGTGTGCAACCTACCTGCCACTACCCTGCCGCTACAGAAATGTGATAACTGTAGGAATTAAGGTTTCGGGCTAAGACATCCACCAGCAGAGTCTGCCATGCACCTTGTATCGTGTACGATGAACGTAAGCCACACACACCTGTAATTGCACGTTAACGAGTGCCACACACCTGTAATTGCACGTTAACGATTTCCACACACCTGTAATTGCACGTTAACGATTTGGCAATTGATAGAGTACACACTGCCCCATACAGCAGCTACTAGGACTCCTCGGTGAAGCTAGGGCCAAAAGGGTGGAAATCCGGCTCCTTTTGCATTGCTTTAAACAAAACATTCTGCTATTTACGGTTTTATGTTATTTCATTTTAATTATATTTTCATAAACAAATTAGTCTGCAACACCTTCTTTTCATCAGATACAGATTTATTATTCTGGAATACGTTAGGTGGTTTTTTTAATTGGAACGGGGAATATTGAAATATTTTAAGTCTTTCCTTTGATTGATATCAGTAATAAGCTTCGTAACGTACTTTAATGTAACTGTGTTTAATAGTTGTACTTTATTTCCCAGTGTAAAACAATAATCAATACACAATTTTGTCGTATTTTATGTACCTGGCTAGACCCTTCTTCATTGATAAATGTTCTTGTTACACTCTCGGTGAAAGTACATTGTAGTTTTCTAAGCTTTCTCTCAATGACATTTGTTTATAATTTACACATACAGATGTTAAACATTTTTCTGAAATGGAAGTGCCCTGTTTCATAAGGCATGCTGAATCAGATTCCAGGAGTTATGCTTACTGTTCTGGGCCTGGTTTTGCCTTACATTCAGACATCATAATGCCCTACATCACACACTATGGTACACCAGAACAGATAGAGAAGTTTGTCCCCAGAATGACAGCTGGAACATGTATTGGTGCCATTGCCATGACAGAGCCAGGGGCTGGCAGGTAATTATCCGGATTTTAAAATTGTCACTAAAATACATTTTTGGTTCATAAACATTGGCATCAAGAGCGTGAATATTTCCTAAACAATAGTAGGCCTTTCTGTTGCTGGGTCGAGACATACAGTGTGGTCCAAGTCTTATCTTTAGACCTGGTATTTCAAATTTTTCTCTGTTATCCTGTTAAATATCCATGTAAATATGTAATATTCATACATCATACACAATAACTTCAGTAGTGGTACTGTTCATAATGTACACACTTTTACTTTAATTTTTACCATCTTTTGACAAATCCTATTGGAGCAATCATGTTGTGCATCTTACGTTAATCTTTCAGTATAATGATATTGATAGCTTGGTAGATTATATTTCCCTTTATTGCCCTATATGCGGATTTGTAATGGCCAATATCATTCTGATTTAATGAGTTTTCAGCCTTTAAAGCTAAGCAAATGATGTTCCAATACTTTTATGATATTGCTACAATGTATATTTGATCATTTCGGCATAGTGTGCCCCTTCTTTCTTTAATCTTAGAATCCGAACCATTGCCAAAAAGGACGGTGATGATTACATTCTCAACGGTAGCAAAGCGTTCATCAGCAATGGTTACATGTGTGACGTTGTAATTGTTGTTGCCATCACCAATACAGACGCTAAATCAAAAGCTCATGGCATAAGTCTCTTTCTTGTAGACGCTGACGGTATTCAATTTGCAATGTAAAGTTTGGGCCCTTTCCTATCGGAGATCAATTTAATTTAAAGCATTTAACATGATACACAATTGTGTATATTGTGTCCAAACAAAATGCACAAAGTTGTGTATTAATGAATAGCAAATTCTTTCATCCAAATTGTATGGATTTTAAACAAATAGTTATTTGAATTCTTATTTCTTTGTCTACTAAGATATAATTGAGATATTAATTTATTTCATACTTAACATTCTTATTTGGTGTTATTTTTTCTGCAATACAATTCAACACAAGCTTGTCGAGATCAAGACGGAGACAGCAGTGGGACGTGCCTTTGTTGATCAGTGTCTTCATATCCACAGCCAGCGAGGTCTGGACTCCACTATGGCATCCATGGCAAAATACTGGTAATTTGTTCAGTTTTATATACACATGTACAGAGAAACACCAAGTACGGCCAACATATTGAATAAATATATATAAATTATCAGGTGAAAGAGTCGTTGATAAAAGATTTATGGAGAAAAGTTTGACAAACATTGTTAACAAAATATTATCTGTATAGTAAGGACAATAAAGTGAAATGGACGTGGCAAGAATGATTTTTATACTACACGGATTATAGGTAATACTATGTGTTTGTACATTGTATTAGTGAAGATACAAATGTGTTTGATGTTGAATATTGGTGCTTGGTGTATCATATACACTGACATTCAGAGAAATCATTTGTTAAGACTATAATATTTCTTCTTTGATCGGTAGGTTCTCCGACCTTCAGAATTACGTTGCAACACGTTGTGTCCAGATGCATGGCGGGTGGGATTATAAGTGGGAATACCCGATCGCCAGGGCTTTTGTTGATGCTCGAGTACAACCTATCTATGGGGGTTGCAATGAAATCATGAAGGAACTCATTGCAAGGACCATTAATAGAAACAGTTAATGGTACATACTTATAGTGTATAAACATTACAGACCAATGCAATTGAATGAACAAGTTTATACGTGATGCAGGCATATCAATATCAAGCGAGAACACATTCTGCTCTCAAACAGTTCTTATATTAATGGCCATTTAATTGAATAATGAACGGATAGACCATCAAAAACTGAATTGATATCCCTGGCATATGTTGTACTTCCAGATATATAGAGGTTACAAGGCCTAACTAAATTGTCCCTAACCTCAGCACATACGCCACCCATGTCATTCACATAGGTTATTGCAGTAGTGTTTCAATGTGTCATACCTTTAACAAATCCAGAAATGTGAGAGAAAAGGCCCTGTAGAGCACTACGGTTTCCAATACCAAATCGCCTATTCTGAGGCGAAGTATAACCTCTAGTGGTACTTCAAATGAACCGTTTGGAAATATCATTTATTTCTTTATTCTTCCAGGCAGATCATCCCCAACAGGTACTAAAAAGTATGTGTTGATGTTAGAACGCAGGACACATCTGCGTTTGAAAGAAAGGGTAAACATGGCATTCCCAAGCACAGCCGCAGAATCAATTATGCAACGTTCACAAATGGCAACCATCCATGTAGCTAGAATCTGTGTTCACCTCTGCGGAACAAAGCAGATTAGGGTTAATTGGTCTGGAGCACTTTTGATGATATTCTTTATTTTTGAGGAGTCAATCTTATAACTACGGGCCTTATTAACAGACTGTCAAAGTAACCCAGACACATTAGGCCCTATTTGCTCCGCTGTCTCTTTTTGAGGGACATTCCATTCCCCCGACCTCATCATCCTCAACATACCATGAGGCTCATATCCACTATTTGGGGCAGAAATATCACCTAAGAGTCGTTCAAGATCGACCATACACATCCCTTGAGACAGAATGACGGCGCTCTATCTGTGGTCATTTTTCTCATTATTTTGTTGATAGAACTGATAGTACGCTGTATATTTCCAATACCCAGCTGCTGCTTACGATGGGGTATTTAAAACTTCCGTTGGACTTGTTGGTCTGACTAGCAGCCCCAGTTTGTTTGTGCTTTTACAGGGGCGTACGGGTGGGGCAGATAATGATGCTTTCGGCTGTCGTCACCTACCCTGCGAAGAGTTTCAGACGCCGCACATCGCCAGGAGCAGCGAAGGCCAAAATATTAGGGAACACTAACCTCGACAAATCTGCTAGATTTCGCGAACCCTTTGGGACATCGTCCCTATCGATAATATCTTCCTCCTCAGAATGTTTAAATTACCAATATAAAACTATAAATAATAAATTCGGAACACAATAATGGTATTACATATCAGGCTTTAAACAAAGGATCCCGGACGGTTTCTGACACTTGGCCTTTATGATGGTGTCAGACATCAAGTTTTTTCATATATCAAGTTGCATACAAAGGAGTCCAGACGGGTTCCTGACAAGATGTCTTAATGATGTATTAAGCTTGATATGTGATACCATCATTTAGGCTAATTGTCTTTTTTCAAGAATAATAAATATTTGAAGATATACGGAAACGCAAATTTTAAATGTTTAATATCAGTAATAATTAAGCACCGAAAAACAGCACTAACAGACTAAGTTTCAAATACCACCAGCAATGTGGAGTATTTGTAGTCTGATGACCGCGACTTCTTCGCCAGAGGATACTATTATACTTAAAAACGAAGTATAGATTGCAGAATGTCAGTTCAGGTTTAACTAACTATCACAAACTCTAGAAAATACTCATCATGGAGAGTTAATCAACTAGGCCTACCATATAGCGTTTTATTATAGACCAACAATTATTGGAAAGTTCATTTTATAAATATGCTTGTTTCAAAAGCTGACAGTTATTAAATTATCTTAATATGTTTTATTTATCTATTTATTAAATTTATTCCTTGCAACTGAAATGGCGGCGGTCGGTTTTTATATATACATATTTTTTCCGCGCATATAGTGTTATGAAAATCGTTCTAATTCCGAGTTCATATTTTGCTGCATAACTTACTGCTATCTGTCGCTGCCTCAGAGTTGGTGCATGTAAGCAGTGAAAATTAATGAAGAACAATTTAAGATGGTCCAAAATTAAGCTGCTTCCAAAGATAAAATAAAAATAAAATAGAATCGACCGAAAATCGCACTGTGAATCTATCGCATCTTGACGCTAATATTTGACATATAGTCATCGTTTCAGAGAGAGAAATGTTATATCATTTGTTTACGTATACATTGTACCGTGTGTACATTGTACCGTGTGTACATTGTACTGTGTATATATTGTACCTTGTGTACATTGTACCGTGTATACATTATACCATGTGTACATTGTACCGTGTATACATTGTACCGTGTGTACATTGTACCTTGTGTACATTGTACCGTGTGTACATTTCACCGTGTATACATTATACCGTGTGTACATTGTACCGTGTATACATTTTACCGTGTGTACATTGTACCGTGTATACATTGTACCATGTGTACATTGTACCGTGTATACATTGTACCGTGTGTACGAGAATAATTAAGCTGCGTAAAAAAATACAAAATGAACCTCAAAGGCCTTTATATTTACCTTGTCTTATTTGACTCTAAAATCCATCAATATTTCGTCATTTCGAATACGTTCAATTGATTTTCTTGTTATTTTTTTGAATAATTTATCTATATTATTATGATAGTATTTTTGTGTTTTTAGTTATGCTTGCCATGGTAATGCCTTCAAAATTGCGTAAATTGGAGGTGCTGGTTTTTTTCGAAAACTTGACAAAATTGACTGCTATCCACAATTATTAAAGGTATACGTTTTAAAACATTCAGAAAACCAGGGACAGTATATAGACTTCACTATACGTCCCTGAGAAAACAACATTTTTTCGATATCATAGTGTAGGAAAGCTCCATGTTACATATTAGAGTTATTTCCCCTGTACTATGTTGAGGATCATAACTATAAATAGATTTTGCCCTACCTGACATTTGGACAAGTAAGTTTTATTACTTTATCATTGTTTTCTACAAACACTAGCATATGTTAGCGTAAACACAAATGTATAAGATATAAATAACGATTTGGATAAAAAAGTACACGAACCTACGCATCAGTATCACAGGGAAAGTATGTACAGTATATGAAGGAATATAGGGTTACCACTACTCCGACGTATACTCTACCGGTTCCACAAGTAAAATATAGTACGGTATGTTTACATTCATGAATATTCCTGTGAGGTAATATACTCCTATTTTCAGCTCTCCATTACCCGAAATATTGAACCCAAACATGGTTAGAAACTAGCTGACAATATCCAAGATAGCCCACGAGTTTTGTTTGATGATATTTTTGTATAAGAAGCCTTGCTCAAGTCCGATATTTGTAAGGTTTAGATGGGAGTCCTTAAGGAAGTACTCGCAATAGCTATCGAAAATACTATATTTTGATACCACAAATACTGTAAAGGCCACTCTTCCAGTAGGCATATATAAGTGGGATGGTGTTATGCACAATATTTATGGCAATGCAACAAAGGAATACTACCCATCTAGCTGTTACGTTAAATAATATGAATACTAATTCAGAACCTTAAATGTAACTAAAGGTTTACCATTTTTATGAAAGGTCATTTTGTTTTCAGACCTCTTTCTCAATGCTATCACATACAAATATCTCTGACAATGATATGTGGTCTGAAAGCAAATCTTACATCTGATTAAAATCACGAGGACACATAGCTGTTACAATTGTTATGATAAGGACAATCCTGATGTGTGGGGATACATATTCTTAGTGTTAAGGTTTAGATCAACACTTGGTCAAAATTCGACCCCACTAATTATCTTTATTGAGTTATGTTCCATCATTGGGGATGTCATTTTAACAACGTGTTTAAATCAATATAAACCCTTAAATTGGTTTGTTGACTTTAATAAATTTTGAGGGACGTTGATCAATAGAAGCTGCAATGGTTACATAATTAGAATACTCACCATGCAAGCATGTTCAACGTTCGGGGTCTGCTGTTGTAGCTCTAATAAGTGTGGTTCTAACATCTGATTTCATCTGTAAGAAGTCTGATTTCTTCAGCAGTTACATATTTCTCCTGGGTGTTTTGGGTTATCGAATAATGAGGGCTATATGTCCTGATCTCAAACTTTAGGTAAAGTGTTGCATTATTAAACCAATGCTGATATATTTGATTGGAAAAAAATTCAGCTGCTGCTAATCCCAGTTTCAAAAGCAACAATTTGATATACAGAAAGATCATTGAGCAATGTGATAGAGTGTTCATTTAGTGGTTAAGGTAGTTCGGTCTTGATTATCTGGCCATGAAATATTAGTTTTATTAAGGTCATCGCCAGCCCAAACAGTGCGGTTGGTTAATTTTCTGAAAAAGATACCGTATACTTGGAAATTGTCGCCGCATGTTGACTCCGCCTTTTTCGCCCTCCGTAATGAGTGCGAATTTATCCTTGCAGTGAACATCTTAAACAATATAATAAAAGTAGTTATCAAAAATGAAAGGAAAATGTAACACTTGGAAAAGCGAATTTCACTATATCAGGGCGAAACTTTTACTGGCCGAAATTTTCCCGGTATACACTAGAAGGTAAAATCGACAGTATTTGTTAACGCAATCTGGACTTGTCTTGTTGCGACCTATAGTTAGCTGGGGGTTTATGGGCTTTTATTTTAATTGGATTTTGGCTGCCATAAGTTCTATCTTGTTGCTCTTAGATTGACATTTAAATGTGTACGAATGACAACCGTGACACCTCTGCTTAGCAACGAGATCCTATCATTGCTGAACATCTTTTAGTTTATTTTTATTTAACAATACAAACACTCCCTTACAATATTCTTAATATTATTAGACAACAAATTTTCAACAGTTGGGACACTTTATTAACAAAACTAAAAATTTCTTGAGAATCAACATCAGAAAAAAACAGTATATGCAATAACATGAAATAAAGGATATCACATGTACAATAAACAATAAATCACAGTTTTTGCTTGAAAATTAGCATTAACATAAATGCGAATTCTGAACTAATTCAAAACATGTAGGTGAAGGTCGGTCCAGAAAGTACCGGCTCCGCTGGCCGGAAATTGCCGACGTAATTCGATTGCGCTGATTGGTCAATACTCGGTCAGGCCCTGCCCACGACGTCACTCAATTTTCCGAGGGAAAAAGTTTCAAAACTATCGCACCCCTCCAGACGAACTATTTCCCTGGCATGCAGTTACAGGGAAAATAGCTTGTTTATGTGGTTACTTTTGTAAAGTGTAAAATAAGTAGAGGTATACTAATGTGTACTAAAGTGAGCCTAAAAGTAAATAACGAGGAATGATAGGACCTCGTTGCTAACCAGAGGTGTCCTGGCAGACATTCGTACAAATCTAAATGGCATTCTAGGAGCAAAAAGAAAGAGAAAATATTATTTGAATTTCAGGTAAATCTTCAAATGTATTTGTTTTATATACGATTGTAGTGAAGTATTAATAAACTAGATATCCACTTAAAGGAACGATTAAGACGCATAGTGGAAGAAACGTTAACAACTGTAGCATCATGACCGAAAGCCTCGCAGATCAACTGAAGAAAGTAAAACTGAAGAAATCAGCCGAGCCTATGAAGGACTTCTCGAACCCCAAGACCATGGGGTTCACTAGTGCCAAAGAGATTCGGGAGTACGAGGATAAGGTGCTGGATGTTAATACCGAGCGCTGGATTCAACTCCTCAGTGATGTCACATTCCCTACAGTCACGTGCCCCTTCACTCTTGACGACGCCAAACTCTTCATCGAGTGTTACAAGAGGTAAAATGTCATTTCATCACAAGGTCATATACTAATGAAATCTAGTATGAACAAAAGTACAAAATGTTGATTCTCTTTTGTAATCCTTCTGCTTCTGAACTTTTTGTTAGGATTAAGAACTTCCCCGTTGCACAAAAAGGCAACGAAAGTATAGCTTCCAGTAGAAAGCTTGTAAACCATCGTTTTAAAGATCACGTTTTAGGTAGTGAAATTGAAAGAGTTTGGTTGACAGAAAATCTTCCCTTTCGTTGGAACCATTCATGCGTGACGCTCATTGGCTACCTCAATGCATTGAAAGACTTTTTGCCGAATTGAACGTATCGCTCGTAAGTACATGAAGTAAAGCTATCAGTTGTTAGTCAGAGAGGTATTACCAGCTAGAAAATCACAAAGGATTTTAACATAACCAAAGTCGACCGTTATCGACACGGTCAAAAGAGGACACAGAGAAACGTTAACGTAGTAATGTTGTCCCATTACACCTTCAATATATTACAATGATTTGGCTCGATATCAGTTGCCTCCTTATCGTATCATCGAAGCAATTTATTTTGTTACAGGATATTTGACAATAAAGATGCTGAAACAGCCATGGCAATAGATTGGAAAGCTTCATTGGTGAGTGTCGAGAGAGAACATGTGGCCAACCTTACCGAGAGACTAGACTCTGCTATGTCCGTCTTTACCAAAGATGACGGGTGTGCGTTCGTGAAGTTGTCTTCCAGGAGTGCAAAGGACGCACCAATGCTACAGTCGCGACTAAAAGATATGTACAGACAGGCTTTAGGAAAATTCAACGAAACCGAACAAAAACAAGAAAATACAAAGATCATATGTTTGCTGCAAGCTGCGTTTGATGCCATGAGAGTCACGTGTGCCGCTGACGTCATTGATATGTTCGTACGCAGTGAGCGAGTGTATCAAGACCTGCTATTGGCTGCTATAAACAGACCGGAGGTATATGATGAACATTTTGTTATTCGGAAGTTTATTCCTATTGACGTGGACATGGAGTTCCGGGGATTTGTTTACCAGGGACAACTAACCGCTCTTTCACAGTACAACTATATGGTTTATTCAGAGCGACTTGTGGCAAAGAAAGATTCAATTGCTAACCGAATTCAGGATTTCTTCAAAATTTCTGTACAACCAAAACTTCCTTCAGCTAATTTTCCACAAGACTTTATCATCGACTTTGCTGTTTGTGATGTCGGTATGTAAAACTGTTGTATCATTGTGTAATGTACATAATTTTGATGTGCAATATTGCTGCAATATATCCCTAGAGCTTTTTTTTGTCAAAGACTAAAGGTGAGATTTTTGCCAAAAATATATATTTCGTTTATACATTAGAAGTGCAAACCTTTCTAAACTCTAAATTTGTATAATCCTAAGTTATTCATGAAAATTGACGTAAACATCCGGAAAAAAGGTAACCAGCACAAATAAACGGTATATCAACATTGTTATATTAAATTTTCTGGTGTTTTTTTTAAAACGACAACACTAGGTGTAATTCCTTACCATTGTACCCTGCCTTATATCAAGTACGAATATATGGATTTAGCTTTGGACAAATTGTTGACTCCTAAAGTTTTTTTTACGGATTATATATCAAATTAAACTCTGTTTTAAAACAAATATTTAACAAGTTTTATAAACTTATCAAATAATTCCTGTTGGCTCTGATGCAAGTACGCAGAGGGACTTGATATAGGAAAACACATATCACAAACTATCCACTGCTCCGCCCGACCACTAAAATTAGTCTGATTGTTTCAAAACATTATCAAATCCATGGAAGTGGTTTTGGATAGTGAGGTCTCACTGAAGCAATAATGTACGATAATCGTTAAGTTGAGTTCAACCCATTGTATTTATCCAACACACTCTCATAGTCTGTATTCATTTCTTTCCATATTTTGCAGAAGCCGAAGACAATCTATGGAAACTATGGGTTATTGAATTGAACCCATTTCTCTCGTCAACAGACGGTGCCATGTTCAGTTGGGAGCATGAGCGACATCTTCTAACAGAAAATGATGGATTCCACTTCCGGGTGGTACCAAGACCAAAACCAGGGTCCCTTACAATGTTACCAAGCAGTGTTCGGGCGATTTTAAAGGATACTATGTCATAAGGGAACTGTGTAATATAAAGCATAACATTTATTTTCAAGAACACTGGCATCTGCATACGTTGGTTGTGTTTACTCAAAACCACTACAGGAATCTCTGAAAGTCACAGATACTTATGTTAAAAGCTGCTAAACGTTATAGAATGTAGATTATCACCAAACAAACGACTCTCATTTGTCTTGTACAATGACCATGTGTGTTTTCGGATCTACGCCTCCAAAACACAGTGGTATATTCCTCCCTTCATACTTATGCCATAAGGTTGCAAGGTATCTGTATGCAAATAGCAATGAATGCAACCAAACACACAAATCACTAGACCAAGCAAACAAATCACTAGACCAAACAAACAAATCACTAGACCAAACAAACAAATCACTAGACCAAGCAAACAAATCACTAGACCAAGCAAACAAATCACTAGACCAAACAAACAAATCACTAGACCAAGCAAACAAATCACTAGACCAAGCAAACAAATCACTAGACCAAACAAACAAATCACTAGACCAAACAAACAAATCACTAGACCAAGCAAACAAATCACTAGACCAAACAAACAAATCACTAGACCAAACAAACAAATCACTAGACCAAACAAACAAATCACTAGACCAAGCAAACAAATCACTAGACCAAACAAACAAATCACTAGACCAAACAAACAAATCACTAGACCAAGCAAACAAATCACTAGACCAAACAAACAAATCACTAGACCAAACAAACAAATCACTAGACCAAGCAAACAAATCACTAGACCAAACAAACAAATCACTAGACCAAACAAACAAATCACTAGACCAAGCAAACAAATCACTAGACCAAACAAACAAATCACTAGACCAAGCAAAAAAATCACTAGACCAAACACACAAATCACTAATCACTAGACCAAACAAGATAAGTAGATATCACGTAAAATGAAACTGCTAAACAAACACTGAGCACACATGCATTTACCGATGAGATACATTTTGTTTATATTTTGTAGTATTAAACAGCACGTGCACACGAATCATGTCAAAAATGTGGACTACGGTCATTATGAATGTGTTTGTTTATCCAGGTACATGTCGTGACTGAGAGAAAAGAAAAAAATATATATAAGCATATAAGCATATTACCCCTCTCAGTAAGATCGACTGGTCTCTATAAACGGAGACTGGATATGATATTTTGAAGATGAGTGTGTCCTCTATATTATTATAATATTGCTAGTATATAGATTGAGAATACTGTGTGTGGATTGGTGATGATTCAAAAATTAGTAATAGTTTATTGTTTATCGCGCTAGTTATTTTAAAAGACAACGAACTTCAGTGATTTGCTTTTAAAATTACCTAATAACAAAGAGACGTTTTGACTAACAAATTATTTACAAAGGTCAAGAGTTGTGGAAAGTGTTCTATCACATTTTTATGACATTTTCAAACGATCGACCTCGTTGTTTACAATTCAGGAAAAAGAAAAATTACCTGAAGATGATAATTTGGCAATTTTGCTAATTGATATGTAAAACTCTACAGTAATAGATATAACACTAAACCCACATTTTATTTTTCAATGCTTAAAATATTTTGATATCGCTTTAAAAAAAAAAAAAAAAAATCCACAGTCAGGGTTTTAATCAGTCAAGCGACGAAAGGCACGTTTGCCGTTTTATGGATGGCCTAGAATTGAAAACAGGAGAAATGGTGACAGATATCCACGCTGTATGTTAGATTACTTTATTATGTATGAGATCTTATATAAATCACAATCATCTCAACCATTCAACTCTTAAAAGATTCGGGGTTTACAGAATGTCAGTTTCTAAACTACTAACAGTAGTGTATCTAACCAAACGGACATTGTAGAAGTACTTGTTTCCGGATCGTTGCTGACTATGTATCGTAAATATAATGTATTGTTTTTCACCAGAAAAAAAAAAGTTTAAACTAAGTGCCTACCGATAACTAGATGGAAATGGTAACCATGAAGCAATCACGAGTTGATCGAGAAGTTCTTTTATATAGTTAGTTAAATATAAATGAACGTAAGACACACACACACACACACACACATGAGTGTACCTATACGTGTATTATTAAAGAATACTTCTACAATGCAAGACCGAAAATAGCTGGAAAGGAAAATCGTTAATATCCTGCATAGCATTATCGGTTGATTTACAATTGAAATTACATTGTAATTGCTAATTTAGATTCTCACATACATTTATATGCAGATGAGATATTAGATTATGATATTTAAAGACGATTCATATACAAATTTTAAAAGGGATTTCGATGTTTGAAATGGTACTCCTAACTACATGATATATGAGAAAATGGAAGTTGTTGTTGCTGTGGGCATAAATGAAAATAAATGCATATCGCAACAAAATATCTAATGGTGAAAACACTTGAAAAAAATGAACTAAATCAAAACCAAACAAACTAGTGTCCTTTTCTTTTTATTTAGAAATTGGCACTAAATTACCACGAAAGTTATCAAAAGAAATGATCCTTTCAGTTTGTCTTAATAAATGTAGAATTTATTGTTACAGTGTCGCTTCACACGGATTGAGAAATAAACTTGGCCATTTGTCAGCCCAAATAATAGCTGCAGCTTTTCTAAACTCATTGCTTCATCTGAATCTAGATTACCTCGGATGAACTCCTCCATCAATGTGTTCTCTACCGCCCATACAACTATGGTCCAGCTGCTGGAAACGTAGTTACGGTCGACACGTCTATCATCCATAATAAAAAGTGACAGGAAATTTCCATGAGAGGTTTTAAGTATCGAGAGGCTACCAATGTGAATTTAAAGATACTCAAGGATGTATTCTGAGGAAGACTACGCCAGACATTGGGCAGACCGATAGCGTGCTAAATTGGATTCACAGTTTGTCAAATCCATCAGGTCGAGAAATTAAAATGAAATCAAAACATAAGTTTGTATGTCTTGACATCGATGTCCAAACCACACTGAGTTATCCGGATAAGAAGTGTGTATGGGTGTAGTTGTGTCTGCAGACAAATCATCTAATAACTTTATCTTTGTCTGCAGACAAATCATCTAACAACTTTATCTTTGTCTGCAGACAAATCATCTAATAACTTTATCTTTGTCTGCAGACAAAGCATCTAATAACTTTATCTTTGTCTGCAGACAAAGCATATAATAACTTTATCTTTGTCTGCAGACAAAGCATCTAATAACTTTATCTTTGTCTGCAGACAAAGCATCTAATAACTTTATCTTTTTCTGCAGACAAAGCATCTAATTACTTTATCTTTGTATGCAGACAAAGCATATAATAACTTTATCTTTGTCTGCAAACTCTTCATTTCCTGCTTTCTAAACGAATTAGGCTTGCTCGATAACCAAGGAACCCTACCTATACCTTTTTCAGTTTTTCGAAGGTGGAAATAATAGCTAATGGTAGTTTTGTGTTAAAATCGTTCCGAGAACTGATTTATGATAAGAATACGGACCTGCTTAGTTTGAATTGGATTCCATTAGCTCACAAACATCCTTATAACCCATAGTGTATAGCTGGTTCTGTTAGTTGCACAACCAAACCGTTATTCAACCATTTTATTACCATGCTAAGTACCATTAAATCAAGGCTACTGTCATATTGTGACATTCCAGACTGGAATTAATGGAATATGTATATTTAAGAATTAATTATTTTTTTATTAAATCTTTAACATTCTCTCTTCAAACGCGTTACTTTTATTAGATCTTCCGACTTCTCCTATTTTACAATACAATACCTCATGCCAAACTGAACGAACACCTTCGGTTTTTGTTATTATTATTATTATGAAAGCTTTCCTTTCCAAGACGAGAGAACGGCGATATAAATATGTGGTTGTGAACAATTTTATAGCATTTGCTATGAAATGCACAACAAAAGGCCAAAATGATATTATTGAGTTCCTGGTTGAAGTTTCCCAGTGGCAGAAAATGATATTATTGAGTTCCTGGTTGAAGTTTCCCAGTGGCAGAAAATGGTATCCCTCTTCTTGCTGACTTGTTTTTATTTTCATGTGAAGCTGAATGAAGGAGAGCTTATCGGGACTGGTAACAAAAACATGGCCAAATCCTTCAATTTCACATTCAGATGTGCTGTCCTTAAATCGCGTGATGTGTTTTAATCTCGTTGGTCGTATAATACCCTCCAGAGCCTGAAATCATGGACACCGCCGACTCTTCTTCTACAGTCACTGTCCTCGATCTTAACTTATGACATGACCAACAGAGAAGGCTTACTTCAAACCTATACGATAAGCGGGACGTAACATGACCAACAGGAAAGGCTTACTTCAAACATATACGATAAGCGGGTCATAAAATGACCAACAGGGAAGGCTTACTTCAAACCTATACGATAAGCGGGACATAACATGACCAACATGAAAGGCTTACTTCAAACCTATACGATAAGCGGGACATAATATGACCAACAGTGAAGGCTTACTGCAAACCTATACGATAAGCGGGACGTTTACAATCTTCTCATTGTGAACTTTGACCATCCTTGATAGTATTATTCTTGCTTCCTTAACCGACGTTGTTTACATGATGCAGATAATTCGGTATTCAAGAGCTTGCTCTAAATATATCATGATTTCCGTTATATTTGTAGCTAGATTACTGACGGATAAACTCGCAACAAAGAATTTCCAAAGCCACATGATGTAAAACTCGGTTGGAAAATGTTATGGTCATCATCATTATCTCATTGGCAAACATGCTATTTCTATGTTTCGATTTTTTTTATGTTCATTAGTGTCACTTAGTGTTTTGTTGTCACTGCCCCAGTGCGCGCTATGATGACGGATATTACCAGGGTTTGACCTTGATTGATATGGCGGATGTCTTCGATGAAGCAGAAGACGCTTACCCTTCCGAAACACCTGTTCCTATTGTCCTTGTACTTTTTTCAGTTATCTTCATATAAATATTTCCTTTGTTCATATATTTCGACTGCGAAAAACTTTTAAACTCTGAAATGGCGGAAGGAGAATACATTTTACGTGCATATAGGAGGTTTATAAAAGAAAAAATATCCATCTTTCCAACGATACTAAGCATTTTTCCGTAGATCAACTAGAAATGTTGTTTTTGATGCAAGAAAGTTAGGTGGGATAGACTTTTGAACGTCGAGAGCTTTCCACCCTTCTCGTATATATATGATCATCGGGGGTGTCATGTTTACCGAAAGTAGATCTAAACCCCTAAAACAAGTAAAATTACTTAGTTTAGGTCCAAATAAACACTGATTTGGGTGGCATTTTTACCGAAATTTAAAATTGATCTAACCCCCCACGTGTAAAAATTACTCTAAACATCTTTGTTTGGGTGCAAATAAAGATGTAACATATTCTCAGGTCCCTGTGATTTATAATAGTTATAGTAACCGATTTCAGTTGGTTCAACCATCTAATCAGGTCAGTACAGTTTTGAAATCGGGTGTTTAGTGGTAGCTACTATATATTCAAACGTCTGTATAACGTTGATGATTGTTGCCATCTGTGTCATCCAAACGTTTAGGGTTAGATGATAGTGGAAAAGAAGAGGTCTGTAAAAGTTAATGTAAGACTTGTATGTAAGTAACGGTAAATCACGGACTTAGATAATCTATCCATGATGAGCTTCTTTGGACACCCATTCACCTGCATTTGTATCATTATGATAGATTGCCATCGCTGTATTTTTCAATACTACTTAGTCTATCATTTTTTTCTTCTGGAAAATTGCATGCTTTTCTGCTTTCAGTTATTTGAATGACTATTTTTGAAATAGAGTCTTTGAAAGTTTAAATATGAGTCATTAAGGGTTTTGAATTTGTTGAATCTTAAGACACTAGTTTGAAATATCCAACTCCTAGAAATTCAGAAGTCATATCAAATATTGTTTTAACTGATGTTTTTTTCTGATTTAGTACTATAAAGGGAGTGTCAGCAACAAAGGAGTCAATTGCTGATATTGGGTCAGATATGGGCAAGAAGAAAAAATCTGCTGTAAAAACACCAGGAGCTAATACAGGACAAATTTCTAGTACACCTGATGACAAGTTTAATCCAGCAGAACAGTTCAGACAATTCCTGCAGTCTTTCCCCACACAAGGCACACCCACAGACAAGGTGATCAGTACTCTCTATCTCATATGACCAGCAGAATCTATTTTAGTTAATATATATATGGTATATAACATATTATTACATCGTACATAATTAGTTTGTTTATGCTTACCAACTACTAACATGACTGTCAGGGATCAACATTCATTTAATATACATACAATATTTAAAACAGTCAACTTAAAGTTAATATAGTGAAATTGTGATAGGAGAAAGAGATCCGTCCAATGGCCAGAACAGGAACCAAACTCAGGACCTTCCTAACTCTAGATGGACGCTCTACCAATTGAGCTACCTGGACATCGATGATCAGTCCAGTAACGCTACATTTCTAAGTCTTTGCCCCCGAAGACACAACTAATTACAACCTAGGTTTAAGTATCCCCTTTCCAAGCTAACACCTAATGCTTGAAAGAAATGTTGACAAGCTTGCCAATTTTGTAACGGGAGAAAGAGAAATGCAATGGCCACACCTGGACAGGGTTGATCATCTAGTACCAGGTAGCTCCATGGGTTCATGTAACGTATGTCTAGAGTTCCTAGGTTCCCCTGTTCTCGTTCAAGTCAGTAATGTCTTACTAAATTGCATGTGATTGGTTCTTGCAAAATTAGAAAACATGTATTCATACACACAGGCAATTTTGATGAAATCTGTTCAATTTCATGGACAAATGAAACACACAAGATTTGGTAGTTGCACTGAGTAGAAATTGATATATATATACTTTTGTAATAGAACTGTTTATTTTAGCAAACAACTGATCACTTGGAGGAGATTCAGAATATCACAAAAAAAATAAACTTTGGTTAATAATTTTTTTAGAACAAGTTCACTAAAATTGTCAAACAAGATAATGCCGAGTTGAAAATGTTTGATTTTAGTTTCCATTGAAAATATATATGGATCTTCCAAAATTTTGAACATGATGTGATGCTGCTTAGACTGGCTACCAGCCCCTAGGTTTTAATGAAGAATTAACTTGCTGCATTTTACTATTTGCTTGATCTCCTCCTAGTTTAGAACGTAGAATTTATTTATTTCTAAATAGTTCAATCTTCTAGAGACGAGGGACCAGTCTAGAATCAGACATCTAAGTGATCAATATAACATGATTTTTTTTCTTTCTAAATAATTAATTCCAGATGAATTGGTATTCATGGTACTAATACTATTCAATACATGGGTTATGTGGTTGGTAAATCTAGATACGAGGGGCTAGTCTAGATGCTGCTACACAGAGGGGAAATTGCTGTACAGAATATAGAACAGCATTTACCACAATACTCTTGTATTACGACTGCAAGGTTCACCTAAGTAACATTTTACTTACAACAGAGTATAACTTTACAAATCCAGACTCGCCTGGTATGGAATACAAGTAAGACCAATAAAAGCTGTACCTGCATTTCTCATAACAGTAGTTAACAGAATAGAGTATGTAGTTAAACAAATCTTGTTCACTATTACTAACTGATACTACTGGAGGAGATTATGATTATAGATTTGAAGTCCATTTGTCAGTCCATCTGTCACTTTGTTTGGGGCAAATCTTTTACTATTTGCCTACAGTTTACAAATTTGATATACAAATATTTTTTGGGATGACTACCAGGTAAGTATCACACTGAAATTAAGTCTGATGCCATTCTATATAGAGTTATTTCCCTTCATTCTCACCATGAGTCACTTTGTCTGGGTGCATCTCATTTACTTTTCTCTCCATTACAATTGCCTAATTTTGCATGTGGGCATTATAAGTATCTCGTGGTGAAAAAATGTGACACTTGAAGGGATAATTTAGTGAAGGAAGTTTATTTTATAATCATGACACAAACGTATCAGAGTTTGATAATCCTTATGAATAGTTCAAGTCTAGAAACTGACAAGAGACAATGTGTTCTTTGCATTCTTATTCTGTAATGAAAAAAATCTTATCTGTACAATCATACGTGTTAGCTGTCCATGAACTTCTAACTGAAAAAAATGTCTTTCCAGCCAAGGAGAAAGGTAAATTCTTGATTTATTCAGCTAACTTCTCAAGTTGGAACTTGGAATAAAAATACTCTTGATTTATTCAGCTAACTTCTCAAGTTGGAACTTGGAATAAAAATACACGTACTGGCATTTCAAACAACAACTCGATCAACGCTATAAATGAGTAATTTAGTTTACGCTTAAACCTGCATACTTTGTACACTTTGAAATTCTCCCAACAGTTACCTCTTGCATGCATACTCTAATTAAACATGTTTCTTTTTGTTCAAATCCAACTATGAACATAAATATTTCATTATGATACATGCACTTATAATTCTTGCTCGTATTGTAGGTGTAAATTCAAAGCATCAAACATGTTTTATGTTCAAAATCAGACTGACTGACACTGTGGTACTGTACATGTGTACTTCTCATGATCACTGAAAGGCCCGGATATTGCAATATTTTTGTCGTAGCTATATTTATCACCGGCTTTCCTAAAAGAATAACTGACAACAGTGGATGTTGCTTCAGGTCATGTCATTATCAACTACTTAAAGTTTCTTTAGGGGGTATCTATTTTCAGTATCTTATCAATTTTAAGGGTGTTGTTTGACTAAATATACCCTTTAATGTCATCTGTATATGTACACAAACCTGTCTCCTGTCTGCTTGATATACATGTAAAAAAGTTATTGCCCTTTGTTCATTTTTTATAGTTAAAACCTAAAGGTTTATTTTGAGGAGGGACTATGAATTGCTTGCAGTATTTTGTCTCTGTTTTGTTTTTGCTTTGCATTGTCTTTTTACATACCCAGTATATTGTATGTAGCAGATTCCTGATATTAACTGTGCTGTGATAAGAGTTTATATAAAAGATTTGAGGTAGACACCAACATCTAAAGTAGATAGGGAACTATATTGCAGGTATTTGTTTTTGTCATTAAATCTCTTTATATTGATTTATTTCATGTCATTCCAGGTTCTTCCAAATGCACCTTTGCCAATGAAAGAAAAGAGCAAGAAAATCGTAACTACGAAAACTTTCACCAAAGGCATGATGGACGTATCTCTGTTGACCTCCAATGCTACACAGCTACGCTCCATTCTCATGGATACAGATCATACATTCCGTAATATGCTGATTGGGTTGTTAATAGCTTCAGTTTTTTTACAAGTAACATCTACACTTCTTCTTATTCTTGCTGACTCCTTCAAGACAAATGACATTGAACAAAACCCTAACACTAGGCGGCGTTTAAGCTTCAGTTCGTTAGCACTCACAACCCTAGTGACTGTTGTTAATATTTTGATATCGGCATTTCATGTGCCAGGAGAGCCCCGCTCTAGAACTTCCTGATTGGGTAGATAAGGTGGCTTGTGAATTGTGTGATAAACAGAGTGGAAGTAAGGTTACATCTTCACTGTGACAGTAAGGAGGAAGTAAAAATCGGCCTCCACTGTGTGACTTAAGTTAAGTTTGTCTGGAGCATAAGTTCCATGTTATTTCACCCACGTTGACCAAACTTACCATATTTATGTATCTTGGGAAGGCAGAATTTCTTGGACTGAAATTGGGTTTTGTGCCCTACTATATACAGAGTTATGACCCTTTGTTTATTTTTTATACCAAAGTTTGTCCACGGCATAAGTTCCATGTTATTTCACCTACGTTGACCAAACTTACCATATTTATGTATCTTTGGAAGGCGGAATCTCTTGCACTAAAGTCAGAATTGTGCCCCACTATACACAGAGTTATGGCCCTTTGTTTATTTTTTATATCGTAATTTGTCCGGAGCATAAGTTCCATGTTATTTCACCTAAGTTAACCAAACTTACCACATTTATGTATCTTTGGAAGGCGGAATCTCTTGCACTGAACTCAGGTTTTGTGCCCCACTATATATAGAGTTATGGCCCTTTGTTTATTTTTAATACCAAAGTTTGTCCATGGCATAACATTCATGTTATTTCACCTACGTTTACCAAACTTGCTATAGTTATGTATCTTGGGAAGTAGGAGTGTCGCATTCTAAATTCGGCTCGTGACCCACTATATAAAGAGATATTGTCTTTTGTTAACTTTTCATACCGAAGTTTGTCTATTGGCTGATAATGGGGAGACATTGAACAACAAGTTTTTAGTTGTTACATAAATTTGTCTGCGTGTGTGTTGGGTTGGTCGAGGGTGCTGAATCTATTGAGAAAGTATTCTTTGCCGCAGAATTTTACTCTTTCTAAATTGTGATTTCATGGTTTGCCACCATATTTGGTTTGAAATATAAATATTCCAATCGGGTTTTACTTACAGCAATCAAGATCCCCCTTTATAATGACATGCACACACAACAGGCCTTATGAGACAAATACAACTATGCTATCCGGGTCATATCCAATGCCAAAGAGAACAGGCCTGAAAATCTTGCCCTCTGGATCTCTAACCTAATAACCCCCCACCCCCACCACTGGATCCACCAATCTATGAATTGAATAAACAAATGTATAATGCATACTTTTTAAATCAAATGTTTTTATATGTTTTCTGATATGTGGATTGTTTTATATTTTTATACATCGTCTCTTCAAAGTGTAATTTTTTCTTATCTTGATTTATCAAAGTTATATTATTTTGTACACTTATACTGAAATCCGCAAACCTGTTATCAAGTAAAATATATATATACAATGTTATAGGAGGTAAATAAAACTGTGCTAAAGATTTACTGTTTTGCTTATTTCTTAACATTTAAACATATGTATGTTTTATTTCATTATACATATTTGATCTAGCTAGAATGTTAATACTGAATGAGATGCAGTTCCCAAGCCTTGATGAAAGGGTCAAAGGTCATATTAGTCCAATTTTGAAATAACAAGCTTCTGTACATAGCAAGATATCTCATGAACCCTTCAACAAATTTAGTTTACATTTACACCATAGTATAATGTGTTCCGGTAGTGCTGTGGTCAAATGTTCGGGGCTAGTTACTTTTAAAAGGCCACGCTATTAACATTCTTCATAGACTTTAAATTCCTGCCGCCTAATAATAATGGATAGAATCGTATGATATATGGTGCTATTTAGCACCATATCATCTGCATACATCAAAAAGAATAGAACATAGGGCTGTAGCACAGGGACCTGAAATTTGGACCAAAACTAAGATGTTCAGAGTAATTTTAAACACTTTAGGGGTTAATATCTACTTTCGAGCAAAAGTTTATCTAAAGCCCTAAAACGGGTAAAATTGCTCTCAACACCATAAAAAATAACAAAAGAGACAATGTTTCCCCTTGAATTAATCCATTTTGACAATGAAACAAGAAGAAAATGCTTTATTATTACTGTACCTTATGTTCTCGTTTGACATCCATGTTCACCTTCTGTGTCTCCCTTGTTAAGATTATGTACATAACAATGATAACACCTGTTATACAGCATCACAGCTAGTTGATACTAAAGCAGTAAACAACGGTTATGTACAGGTAGTCAACACAGCTAGGATATACAGGTAGGTTACACAGCTAGGTAGTAAACAATGGATAAACAGGTAGGCTACATAGCTAGGTGATGCTAAGGCAGTAAACAATGGTTAAACAGGTAGGCAACACGATAGGTGATGCTTAGGCAGTAAACAATGGATATACAGGTAGGTTACACAGCTAGGCAGTAAACAATGGATATACAGGTAGGCTACACAGCTAGGTGGTGCTTAGGCAGTAAACAATGGATATACAGACAGGCAGCACAGCTAGGTGGTGCTTAGGGAGTAAACAATGGATATACAGGTAGGTTACACAGCTAGGTGATGCTTAGGCAGTAAACAATGGATATACAGGTAGGCTACACAGCTAGGTGGTGCTTAGGCAGTAAACAATGGATATACAGGCAGGCAACACAGCTAGGTGGTGCTTAGGCGGTAAACAATGGATATACAGGTAGGTAACACAGCTAGGTGATGCTTAGGCAGTAAACAATTGTTAAACAGGTAGGCTACACAGCTAGGTGATGCTTAGGCAGTAAACAATGGTTAAACAGGTAGGCTACACAGCTAGGTAGTAAACAATGATTATACAGTTTTTTTGACATTTATTCATTCTTTATTACCTTGAACCTTGCAGTTTATCAGGTAGGTAACACAGGTGATACCCAAGCATTTTACAATAATTATACAGGTAGGCATGACAGGTGATACTGAGGTAGTAAACGATTATTATACATGTTCAATTCAGTTTATTCCATAACATACATGTGTTAAACATAGTAAAGTTAATAACATACAAGATATTCTTCAATAAAATCATGCTTTTCATTGTATATCAGCATAAATGATTTCGGAAGACACATTCAGGCACAAGAAATGTCTTTATTTTTGATGTTGGAATTTTTATTTATTTTTTAATTTGGTGGCAGCTATACCCGCCTGCATAGGTGTGTAACAAGAGATCACATGTTACCAACTAGTAAACATTGTGGAACACGATAACAGCAATGTATATGAAAACAAATATGCACACAGTTTAGTATTCCAATATTGTCGTTTTATTTAGGAGTTTTTCTCTAAAAATAAACGCTAACGTGAACATTACACAAAGGACAATACCTTTCCTTCTTACAAAGAAAAACAATAGTGATACTCGTCACCAATATCTCTAGAGTACAAAGAAAAACGATAGTGATACTCGTCACCAATATCTCGAGAGTACAAAGAAAACAATAGTGATACTCGTCACCAATATCTCTAGAGTACAAAGAAAAACGATAGTGATACTCGTCACCAATATCTCGAGAGTACAAATAAAAACAATAGTGATACTCGTCACCAATATCTCGAGAGTACAAAGAAAACAATAGTGATACTCGTCACCAATATCTCTAAAGTACAAAGAAAACAAAAGTGATACTCGTCACCAATATCTCGAGAGTACAAAGAAAATACATTTTCTGTCATTTTCATTGAAGAAGGTATATATTCTTCTATGTGAAATTTAATTTTCAATATTTGTCGTGTAGAGGACATCTGTATAATGAAGTCATTTCTGAATGAACTGTGTTTTAGTCTTAGTTTAAAAACAAGTTTTAAATAGATTATCTTGACTTATTGTATATATTTCCTGTATATCCCACACAAAGCTTACAAAAATGGCAATAATAGTTGTGTTTTGGAATCCCCGTATATCTACTAAATATAGAAGTATCCTTTGTTTGAATGACAAGTGCCATTACAATTAAATAAAACTTCTAGATATGTAAAAGATTCCAGGATTTCTGGTTCTTCGTTACTTAGTGAAAATGGAACTATTATAACATCTTATTCTTTTTTTTAATTTTAGCAATTTTTATAGTGTTAACATCGAGTTTCCATTCATTACAATATATTTCAAATATCATCTGGCATTCCGAAAAGGAACAACTATGAACTTTAACAATTTGAACAGAGGAAGTAGGCAGAGTGTGTAGCTAGTATGTGCCAGGCAGACACATTATCCATTACTATACATTATATATATTGTTGTATATGATAAGAAATGCTTTATGATATTCATGTGATTTCCCTGCACTTTCAATCTGTTTCTTCTTTCCTTTTTCTGATTTCCAAATTCGTTTTATGGTATAAAAACTGTGTATATATGTCTATTGTCGCTATCACATTGTTAAGGAGAGGGCTTTTGTAAGTTGTCATAACTTGTGCCCAATCCCCTTGCTTGAATTTAGAACAATACAATATGTTTAAACTGAAAATAACTATATACACCTAGCTATATCCCAATATTATCACAAACTTTGAATTGTTTGGAGGCAATTGCATGGTCTCATTTTCTGAAGAACAAATGATACATAGATAAAATGGAGATGCTTTTTCTCACTAAGGCCCAACATCACATTTGAATACACTTGGTTTCCCGTTACTATTTTTTACGCAAGAGGAATAATATGATCGTCAATATTTATTAGGATTTTTTTTTGCCGGTTATTATTTTCATTTTCTGTTACATTCAATTGGCATTTTGTACCCTAGTGGCTACTAATCACAAGGTCACACAACCATTTATAATATCGATTTTAATAGACTTTCGGTCGCTGAATACGTACGTATATATAATAATAAAGCCAAACAAATTTAGTATTATCAGTAGATACGTGCCCCAGTACATTAATCAAATGTCTAGGATGGTCAATGACATCCAACATAATTAGAACAGTAGTAGCCACAAACTGCTAATTAATTATGATAAGCCATGTTTTTTATTTTCTCCAAATTGAAGAATATATTAACTAACATTATTTGCCATTTGTCTTGATCTTGGCTCAATGACGAAGGTTATAACCACACACACGTATGCAATTTCATCACTTTTCAATGGAAAATGTGCATTGAAATGCAAAATAATATTTTCATAATCATATTTTGTGACGAGTGTCATCTATTTGAGCAGTGAATTGGAATACGAGTTATTTCCCTTTATTTAGTTGGACTAGAATTGAACGAAAATGTGACCATATCACTATTTGTGTTTGTGTTTGGGAAAGCGAGTCCCATTTTAGTTTAAGAATCATTTTTTATGCAAAAGTCAATAACATATGACGGAGCTATGGAAATCTCAGTAGATCTCTTTGTGTCGATACACATAGGCAATTGAATATCATATTCAGATCATGTGTGTCGTCACATGAAATCCTTGGATTTCAAAATTATAAAAACACACGTGATTTCGAGGTTCCCATTTGCCTGTGCACGATGAACTATAATTCAATATTATTCACTATATTTTCTCACTCATTCCGCAAGATGCAATCAGACATTAAAATGCAGGTGATGACGTACGATATGTACCCTACGTACGTCTATAAAAAGTTATTTTGATAAATTTTACGAGATACAATATAAGAAACATACACCTAGCTCTGTAGAGCTATTTCTGTGACAAGCATTGGTATACATGCAAATCAGCGACGGCCTACATGGATAAAATATAGGTGGAGCGAAATAATATACACTCTGAGTTAGTGTTAATATAACAATATATAAACACAGTCTAACGGCGCTAAAAGCTTAACTTATTTGGGCCAACCACTACCGACCTAGTCATATATGACACCAAAACAAATTACTTTGTTGGTTATTTGAAATTAACTAATCTCGCAGTAAATGAAGTAAAATGTCACTGGATTTCTGAACTATTATCACAGCATAAGAGGATAAAATTAGGAGAGAAAAAAACTATTTCAAACATATCTTTTTAAATATACATAAAGTGAGAGTACAAAATAAAAATGAATCAATTATAAAAAAGCTACATTTACTAAAACATAAAGTAATTAACAATGTTGTGTCGCAGGACAGATGGATGGCGCACTTTGACAACAATACAATTAAATCGTCCACAAAGGGGTGTTAACAAGTATAGCATGCAAATGATAACAAACCCACCCTTGTCGACTAAGGACAACAGAAAAACTATAATATGAACTATGGAACATATAAAAACACCTTGCAGGCATGCAGAGTTCACCATCCCAGGTGCGCAACAGTCTGTTTAAAATATACTGTTTTGATACATATATATATGTATATAAAATCGCCTGAAGAGCCCCAAGATGGGCGAAAGCGCAAGCCGTTTATACTAGTCTTCGTGTTTTGTTTTATTTATATTTTACCGTCACATGGACATTTAAAACTATTTATCGCTTTATATTACATTTAAATTAAATTTCCTAGGACAAATTATGCATGACACCCTCTCCCAACTAACCTTTTATTAAACAATTGGTAAAGCACACATATACGTTGCGTTATGTAAAATTAAACGTTTAAGCTTTATTTTTTATAACGAGTTAAAGAAATTTCACGGCAAGGAAGTAGAAAAAATATCAGGTTACCGAACGCTTCCGACGATTAAACTGTTGTGGATATTGTTTACTTGAATTTACTGACAATGTGGGGCGATCGCTCAACGATTGATATCCAGCAGTGTGCTGTGTAATAGCCATGAAAGTCTTTTCCCTATTCCCGTCGAATTTTCACAGGAAACGTATGTCTCATTTTTATACTTATTTAATAATTTGTATTATTAGCCTATATCCTCGCCGAGTCGTCTTAGGGTAACACGAGCAATGCACTTCTCTCGACGAGGCCTAACAGGACCACAAATCAAACTTTTATAATTATTTGTTATCATTTTAAACTTTCTTTTATAAGATATAAATGACAACACTTGGTTGTTGTCAATAACACAAACTCTCTTCCCTAAACCCAAAGCTATGTATGAATGAATTATTGTATAACAAACCTAAGACTAAGGTCTTCTTTAATCAGCCTATATACATCTTCGCAGTCCTATAGCCGGTTATTGTTTTAGGATGAATTGATTTGAAAAGAGCAAATGTTATCAAAATAGAACATGAATGAAAATATACAGATGATGAAAATATGGAAAATAAAAATGATAATAATGGCGAACAATTCGAGCTACCTAAATTAGACTTTAAACATATTTATTGCCAATAAAATTGAACAAGGGATTGGGCACAAGTTATTACAACTTATCACAGCCTTCTCTCGTCATACATTACAATTCATGTCAACAATGAAATATAGGCATAAACATGAAGTAGATATATGTATATATAATATTCACACAGGTACAAATACACAACTTTAAAAAAGCATAAATTTGAAAATGACTGGAAAAAATGGGACAAACTAATTAAGCTGTAATACATTTCTATTATCATTATAATTATTATCTTTGAGACATACTCTATCATACATATTTTAAGTTCTGCCCTTCACAAAGCCGATATATTACCTATATATAATATAATATACATGAGTGAATATCCACCTCCTTTTTCCACCATCTCGCCCAACTTTTCATACATTTCTTCTCTCGTTTCTTTATGTTCTCTATTCTCCCTTTCTTTTTATTTTCTCAATCTCTATCTCAATTCCTCTTTCTTATAAAGACAATGCAATGTACTCAGTAGACTGTGCAAATTTTTCATTTACCTTTTTGTGTGGGACTGATATTTTTTCTCTTTGCATAAATTTACATTTCAATAATCAGTACTAGTACATACAGGAATGTCTGAAAATGTCTAATATCATGCATATGGGTTTGTGTGAGTACAACGCATGCGAGTATGGTGAAATCATCTTAATTATGCTTATGCATGGACATGGGTGTTTTTGACATGGACATGAGTTATACAGTATGTGCGGTTATATAAAATTTAATGCAGATATTGTT